CGTCAAATCATAACGTCGGTACCCTTTCATTTGATTAAACAGCAATCAGCTGGAGATAACGAATCTACTGTTATCGCGAGGCGCGATCGTCAACGCCTTGAACAACGTCAGACGTAGTGTTCTGCATATAGCCGCGCTGAAAAGTCAGCGTGAACTCTGCACCCTCCTCTTGGACGCTGGCGCATTTTTGCATGTGGTCGACCAGAACGGATTTACGCCCTTGCATTACGCGGCATACGGGTAAGTTTTGAAAGTCACTGCTGGATCTGCCGTAACGTAAAATTAACATCGATATTTTCTCGTTCAATTAAACAGCAATCAGCCGGAGATAATGGAGCTATTAATCAAACTAACTTCGGTATTCTTTTATTTGATTAAACAGCAACCAGCCGGAGATAACATATTTGCTGTTATCGCGAGGTGCAGCCATCAATGCCCTTAACAACGTCAGACGTACTGCCCTGCACGTAGCCGCAGAGAAAGGTCAGCATGAGGTCTGCACCCTCCTTTTGGACGCTGGTGCTTCTTTGCATACGGCTGACAAGGACGGAAACACGCCCTTGCATTGCGCGGCCCTTGCGTAAGTTAAAAGTCGTTGTTAGATCAACGTAATACTGCCGTAACGCCAAAATAACATTGATTTTTTCTTATTTGATTAAACAGCAATCAGCCGAAGATAATGGATTTATTGTTATCTCGAGGAGCGGCCTTCAATGCCGTCAACAACATTAGATGTAGTGCTCTGCATATATCTGCGTCGAGAAGTCAGCGCGAACTCTGCAGCCTCCTTCTGGACGTTGGCGCTTCTTTGGATGTGGTTGATCTGAACGGATTCACACCCTTGCATTACGCGATAATCGGGTAAGTTGCAAGTCGTTGCTGGATCTGCCATGACATCGAACTAACTCTCGACACTCTCTCGTTTGATTGAACAGCGATCAACCCGAGATCACGAATCTTCTGTTATCGCGAGGCGCAGCCATCGATGCTGTCAACTACGGCGGAGATAGTGCTCTGCATGTGGCCGCGCTGTATGGTCACCGCGAACTTTGCAGCCTCCTTCTGGACTCTGGTGCTTTTTTACATTTGGTTAACAAGAACGGAGACACGCCCTTGCATTATGCGGCAATCGGGTAAGCTGGTAATTGTTATCTGGATCTGCCGTAACGTGAAATTAACATAGATTTTTTTTCTCGTTTAATTAAACAGCAATCAGCCGGAGATAATGGAGCTACTGTTATCGCAAGGCGCGGCCGTCAATGCCGTCAGCAACGGCGACCGTAGTACTCTGCATATAGCAGTTAACAAACAGCATGTGCAATGCGTGAGAGTGTTGCTGGGTTATCATTGCGACATTAATCTCCAGGATTCGTACGGCAACACGGCGTTGCACGACGCGATCGGGATGAAGGACGCATTGGACGTGATCGACGCATTATGCGCCTGCGAGACGGTAGACTTCACGTTGAGGAACAAACAGGGTTTCAACATCCTGCATTACGCCGCGCTCAATGGCAACGCTCAGTGCGTATAAAGCAGACACGATCAAGCATAGCCGCGTACTGGTCTTAAGGGATTACATCACCTTGACCGCCTAAAAATTATAGGTAACTTTGGGAATTTTTTTTAGGAAAACAATAAAAGTAATAAAAAATTTGTTTTAA